AAGGTTGACAGGAGGTTACGTACACGTTAACAAAGTCAGAAGAGGAATGCCCTACTTTCTGTGATGACGTGCCCTTTACTCTAGCAGTGGTGTGCGTGTGCCTTACTTGATACCAGCATGGCCTCTGCTGGACCCCTAGTGGTTTTGTTCAGTATCACAGTAATGGTTAAAAATGTAAACAATATTTGTCACTTTTCCTTTTGAAAAATGTTTTTACATTGTGGATATTATAGTGGATCTGTAAACATCTGTGAGCATATTTCTGTAATTTTAACTTGATTTTAAAATGAATAAAATGTAGTTTATGCTTTTGCAAAAGAGAAATACATTTGAGGGTAAAGAAGTAACAAAGCCATTTTTAAGCAGCTGTGGACTCTAGTCTAGTAACATGTTTTTTAAAGGAAATGCTGATGATTATGCATGAGAGAGTGTTTTGTGTATCCCTTTCAGACACGGAGGGACCACAAGGCTTTTTTTTTGGTTGCGGTGGCTTTGAACATTTAATGAGAAACATTTCAATATAAAAAAATCTAACCTTTTTTCTCTAGCTGAGATCGGCCACCATTTTATAATCCTTTAGAGACCCGAACAATGGGGTCTCATCCTCAAACACACATGCCTGTTCTGTGTCTGGCTTGGTGCAACGCCATATCCCTTTTTTCCACTCTGGGTTATATCAGCAAGCAGAGCAACATTAAAGATGGCTCCAATACATTTAGCTGTCCAAATAATCCATGCCAGTGAGCCAGTACACACAATAGTAGGTCCCTGGATGTGGGACCCCTTTTTGGCAAAGGGCCACAGGAAAGGTTCAAACCCCTGGCAACTGCAGCAGGGACTCAGCCTTTGTACATGGTGCGCCAACTTCACCTTAAGCTAACATGGCGCCTCATTATTCATGTAATTCATTACAAATTCCTTTCTCCACAGAGCAGGCAAACACTAGAAAATATTTTGGGAAATACTCTTCACACTTTGGCTTCAGAGAAAGTCCCCCCAGATGACCAAACCATTGCTGTGGTGCAAAGCTGTCCACAATGTGCATGTACAGTGACCATGACCAGCATCAGCATCAGCAGCACAGTGAGGAAGCTTTGTGACTGTTTTAGTGTGAGGAAGTTTTGGTTTTGTGGATTTAAATGTTTGGCTTTTTGTTATTTTTGTTATTTGAAAATCAGGTGTTGTTTATTCATGTGTCTAATTATTGGTGTTGGCCAAATCAGCACAGTGCTAATGTATACATGCTACAAGGTGTTCTAGCTTGCAAGTACACTTTAGAGGGCCCATGCTTTGGTCTCATTGTGTTAATGTTACTCTTTGCACAGCCTCATTCAGGCGGTGAATGGTTTGTTAGAGCACTGTGGCCGGCACAGGAAAACATGCTGCTAACCTTGATTATGTCTGCTGGAAGTTTCACCCAAAGAAAGAGCACCTCCAGCTCTTTTTCTAAGCCATTTAATAACAAAACAAAAAAAACAAATAAAAAAGAATGTCCACATGTGGCCTTAGTTAACACCCAATTAAGCAAAGCCAAACTACCCAGGTGACTGTAACTCAGCATAGCATGCACCTACTTCAAAGCAAAAGTCCTGATTTAATGAAAAGCTTTTATTGTGAAGCAGTTACAGTGTCATTCAGCTGCTTTTCATTATCGTGGTGCTTTGTGCTCAAAATAGACTTATCTGGCTAACACTGTGGACAGGATTTAAATATACAGGGAAAACCTGGTTTTGATTTATTTCTACCTGTCTTGGGAAAACCTCATACAAGGTCTGTTCAGTGTCCTCTTTTTTTTTTTTTTGTTTGATATGTGGATCACATTTATTTATCCAGTGTCAGTCTTTCTTGACCCCTCCCCACCGGTATTTGTCTGGTATTTATCTCGCCTGTATTTACAACACATGCAACAACGTTGTTAGTTTTTAAATCCAGATTCAAACACATACTGTAATGTTACATGAATATTAATGATGACCAGCGTGGCTGTTTTTAGCATTGTCATTATCATTACAGTATCCTTGTCTGGGCTTTAAATAGCTCCTTTTCCATCTCTTTCAGTCATGATACCCTATTTGTAGATGCCCATATTTAGGTGCAATCAGCACTTAGATGTGTGCTTTGTGCTGTACAACTAAAAACAAAACCTCTGGTCAAGCACAGTAATACAAGAAGGTCTATGAATGTAAAGCATGCATCTTGTCCGCCAGTTGTAGCTTGATGCTAAATGACTGAAAATAGAGCTCTTACATGGCCATTGTAAATGAATGGCCACTGATTGCACCATGGTCAAGAATAGCTGTGGTTTAATGATAGTCCTCTCTCATTAATGCTGGTCCTTTGTGCTTTGGTGAATTCTGATTGCTTATGCATGCATCCCAACTGCTTCCAATCACCATCACTCTTTCTGGCATAACATGCTGACCTGTGAAGTCAAGTCCAGTTTTAAGAGGCAGGAAAAAATACACTTATGACTGTTATTATTTTACACTACTATTTCCTTTGTTTGAAATTATAATAGTAATCATTTTAATTTCATTTTAATAATATTTTATTTTGTTTTATTCCTGTAGTCATAAAGAAGTAAGAAGTAGCAGGTGTGCAGCCTCTCACCAGCAGCTCTTCATCTAACAGCTCACTGTGGCTGCTCCTTCTTGTTCCATTTCTTCCTGCAATATTTCAAACTGTCAAAAAATCCCTAAAATGACCGTTGTCTTATTTCATTGATGCATTTTTGATAGTGGTCACTGCTAATCTCACTGACAATGACATTGCATTTCCTTTGACTACTTCATAAAAAAGCCAACTCGTGTTTCGCCAGTCAAAAACCTTTAATGTAAAGCCGCAGCAGTAAGAAATGTATTACGATGCATTCATCAGAGAGCCATTGGCTCAGTCACCACTGCGTTAACTCATCCAGCGATAGTGACTTCACAGACATTCATTTTAATGAAAATCTTTGAGGTTATTACTTTAATGAGGGACGAAACAGATAAACACTGTTACAAAGGAAGAAGAGAAATGAACAGTGTGCATGTGTAGAGCATATAAATCTTATTAATTGTGAGAGCTAGACTTACAACAACAGTCCTCTAGGATTTATTATCTAAGAAGTGGGGCAACTTGATTTACATCCATAAGAGGAATAAGGTCTGGGGCATACTGCACAGGATATATGCATCAAACACAATTTAACCACACAGATAAAATTAGTTATTGATTAAGTTCATTTGTCTTGTTTTCTATGATATAGCATTGCCTTTATAAAGTATATATTTGTAGGCTTTGGTAGGTGCAGTTATATGGGGTGCAGGAAATCTGAATATGTTTAGCGCCAGTGTCTCTTCCTACTCCGCTGAAAACATGCAATTTGTTGAAATATTAGTTGCTGCGTCCTTTCAAAAGCTTCACGTATAACTATTATCTGTACGTCTGTCTGTTCTGTCAAGATGGTGGTTCTGCGCTGCAAGCTGGCAGATGTGTGGAGATCTCCCTACTCTATGGCTTTACATCCAATCCTGATACAAGAAGTTAATCCACAGTAAAAGCTGTGAATCTTATGAAAAGTTCAAAATCCTTTCACATATTAACTGAATCTTTGCAGTCCGCCCAGTGGGTGCTCAATGTGGCAACCCGCTGAGAACTCATTATGTAAAATCAATTCCTTTCAACACATATCCATGCCAAGCACCCCCAGTGCTCCAGCTTCCGGCAAATGTGGGCATCAGCTACCATACAAACAGATCCATCGCTTTGTGTGATGAGCGCTCACATTCATATGCTGACACATACTGTACACCATCTGCAATGCTGCTAGATGTAACAGAGCGGAAGTGGATTTATATCAGATACTAGGAATTGTGTGTGGTTATAGCAAAAAAATATAGGAAATAACAATCTTATAATTCTCTTTTGAACATTATCAGTGGTATGAGATATACAGCAGCTTTTGGACTGAAGGGCTAACATGAGGGCAGTCAAATGAAAAACTTTACATAATGTTTTTCCTAACATGCCCCACTAAGCCATTGGCCCTGCACAATGTGATATTAAAATTCCAATGAAAGATTTGAGGAGAGGGAATCTTTCCCTGATTTCTTTCTCAGCTAAGAGGAAGAAAGTCTCTGTTAAGGCTATCATAATCCCATTTATTACTTTCCATTCATTTCTGACTCATCAGTGACTGGAGTCATCTGCTGTTATGCAGAGTCTTTGGTGTACAGTCACAGCAGCTGTGGAACATCTCCATTATAAACCTGATTTAAGATGAAACAATGAACCCACAGACACACTATCTGCCTCCCAGTGCCAACCTCCAACCCATCACATATGACTCATTAATGATTTAAACTGTCTCAATTTATTACTGATGCCTCTATATGATCTATAGAAGCACACGAATCAGTGAGAACAGTGTCTATTCAATCATATTCCCCCTGAAATCAGTTAAACAAGGTGGTGTCCAAATGGGCCGGCGGAATCAACAGAAAATGAAAGTTGCTTCTTGTTACAGATTTAAACAATTAAAAACTAAAATATATTTTTTTTTACATAGCATCTTTACCTGCCTTAATTGTGACAAGAACTTTCCAGAAATCAGTGTTAATAGATAGGACAGTACAGTACAGTTCCTCCACTAGTATTAGTAGTGCTTTATATAGTTATAAAGTGATATTGTTTTTCAGCTATAAGATGTAATTTTTTCTTACCTTTTGCTTTTCTTTTAGGGAACAGTATGTATAAGTTTTGTCCTCAAAAGGAAAATGATCCCTAACTTCTTTGAAAATGCCATTGTAGTTTTCTTGTTCTGAAAATGTTACTCATTGGTTTCCCCCAGTTCTCCTATTCTCTTCCCATGTGGATGGTTTGAACTTGTCTCTGTAAGGTTTCTACGAGAACTTGTTCCCCTTAACGTTGGTGAACTTGGTGAAGATGTTGTTCTTTCCTTCCCTCTCCCAGCTCTCCATTCTGCCGGCGGCGCCCCCTGCTGTTGAGGCTGTGGTATGAGCCTATGTGGCAGGAAGGCGCTGACGTTGCTGAGCAGCGTGTTCGCTGTTTGCGCCCTGGGCCTGTTGGGGATCGCCGTAAGCACCGACTACTGGCTCTACCTGGAGGAGGGCGTTATCCTTCCTCTCAACCAGAGCACCGAGATACGCATGTCCCTCCACTCTGGCCTCTGGAGGGTTTGCTTCTTGGCTGGTGAGTTAGTATGGAGTCTGAAACTTTCAGAAAATTTCAGTCAGACACTGCTCAGAGCCATAGCTTTATGACTAGTGACCAGTGACACATTTGATTATTATCAGTGGTAAATACTGACAAATAATCTAACTGAGGCAATATATCAAAATGTGAAGTAATATTTTAGATGTATGAGATGTATTTCTTCAAAGGCAAAAATACAAAATGAAGGTACAGATTCACCAATATTTCTATGCAATGATAGTTTGACATATCAGTTATTCACTAGGAAATGTAAGCAAAGGAACTTGCACAAACAAACAGCTTTTTTCTTTTAGCTAACATTAGTCATTCTGCATTAAAATATTTCATGCAAAATCTTATTGCCATCTTTCAAGGAAACAAAATAAATAAATAATAACGGATACTAATTTGTGGACTATCTGTAAATTCAGAAGCATCAACTTTTCAAACCACCAGATATTAAAGTGTACATATAGTTTACATTAAAAAGTCATTCACCATGATAGCTGCAAACATACTTAATGCACCCACATTGTTTAAGTGTGCTCTGTCCTGCACAAAGCTTTGGTGAATCTGGACCTCAATATCTAGTTTTCTGTGTAATGTGTATTGCACATGTACAGTCACCTGTGTTTCTTTCCGCTTTCTTTCCTCCTCTCTAACCACTAGAGTGTTGCAAGTATAAGTCTTTGCTTAGTGTTTAAACACTTGAGCATGAATATTTGAACTTTGCCTAAACCTCTGTGCAGCGATACAAGCAGTACGTTTCCTTTCATATTTGGTATCCACACTCTACTTAAGTTCTAGGGTGTATCCTTGAAAATGTCAAGTATTATTCCAGTTCGAAAGATTGGGTTTGCTAGATGTCTTTCCTCATGACTTATCCTGTGGCTGACTTCTATTCTGTGGCACCAGAAGCACCTTGGATTGACGCAGAAAGTCCTCTGTTCCTTGACTGCTTTTCTTTTTCCTTCTTTTTGACCTGCATCTCTTTGCCACCATCGCACTCAACATGAAAAACGAGAGCAAGTTAGAAAAGCTCACATATTCCCACTGTGCATGCTTTTGGCACCTTTTGGCCTTTCAAAACATTCTTCCTCCCCAGCTCCAACATCACAAAGGCATGCTCTGAGGTCTTTATTGGAAAAGACACACTAACTGTTAGATTTTATTCTTTTCTTAGAGACACAACTCTCCAGACAAGTGTTGTCCCAGAGTAAACCAGGTATCAACTTTTGCTCTTACCCTTTGCTCTGACTGGTAATGGCGACAGTTAACTCAATATGTTGTGTCATACTTGTTGGATGTGTACTGTAGATGTTTTGACAAAAATTGATGCCTGCTGTCATTTATTAATATTTCTGTTTGGGCCTTTTAGAAAGTTGGACCTGAAAAAATGGGAAAAGCTTTTCTTTTGTAAATCTATGAGTTAATTTATCCTGTAATATTATTCCATTTACTGTTGAATTGTTCCATTAACCCCTGTACCACAACTGACCTGCCCCGTCCTGCTTCAGGGTTAATCATTCAGTCATGTCATTATGTAGGCAATCTAGTTGTGATTAGGTAACAGATGTGTTCCTGCTGTGTAGCAGGCCTTTGCTACAGTATAAATTGACTAATGGTCTAGTGTGTGTTTTAGGGGCAATTGAGTGGCCTTATTGCCCACTTAACTGTTCTAGTTTGACCCAGAAACAATTACTGCACAGTGTCACAGTATGTTATGCCAGAGAACACAAACAAGTTTGCTTGGTGTTTTGGTTGGTATTGATGTTGGTTTGAGTTCGTCAGTGTGTTTAGCTGTTAGCATTTGGTTCCAGCATGAGTTCGTGTAGAGGATCTCTACCCCGACAAACCAGCGCTGACCGTTCAATCAGATCATTTTTGAAAGAACAAATAGATTTTATGACACATTTGATATGCGCACAATGACAATGAGAAATGTGAGAAGTCTCTGGTGTTAGACCCCATTGTGACGTCATTGTATTTGAAGGGGTTGCTGAAGCTGTGATTAGTATAGGAGACACCCTGATGGAGTCTAGACACTGGTGGTGGTTGTGGTTATGAGGGAATGAAGATGCTGAAGATCTGGATGTGATGAGGAGTAGACTCCTGATGAGCTCAACCTGGGCACTGGATATGATGAACTGTAGGTGAATGGGGTGGAGGAGGATCGCAATCAGTTCACACTGTAATGATGGCTGAAAACAGCAGAGAGGAGCACAGATTTAAAGTCTGATGGCAGCAGTATGATTGGCTGGAGTAGATTGTGGCTAAATCTGATTGGATAACTGAAAGAGTAAATGATGGCCATAGCTAATTAGAGGAGAATGAGATATTTGTGAATGAATTAGGCTGAATGAGCAGGTCTTCCTGCTTGAACTTAGGCTAAGCTTCATTTTATCATTGTGATTGCTATAAATCATGTAATGTATTGTAGACTGTAAGCCTTGTAGCAGAACTGGTTGTAGCAATGACTTTGAGTAAATAGGTTGAATTTAGCTCTTTATTTGTACTATTAATTACCATTCTTGGTATTTCTTGTTTGTTCCCCTTTATGAGATTACACTATATGTCTAGCTTTGCAATAGCCACTAGACAACATTATTAAAATCACATTTGCATATGTTTTTATTTATTTTCATCTATTCCAAAACTGTATTTTTAATAATTGCATTGCAAGTCTAGAATCGCAGTGTTACTGGCGTCCTTTAAGACTGATGCTTCTTTAAGTCTCCTGTGTGAAAGCATAATCAACATTTCCTGTAATAGTGATCGTTACCCTTTATTGCAGTTACATTAGAATGGACCGAGAATTACAGTCGCCTAACTGTGGAGGTAAATAGTAAAAAAAAAAACAGCACAAGCTTTACAATCATGCTACAACAGCTTTACAAGCCTGATTTTTGATAACCCAGGGGAGGGAAACCCCAGGGAACCACAGAGGCTTCCTTCCCCTGGGAGGATGTTTTCCATTTAGGGACATTGAATGCTGACTTTAAGCGAAAAGCAAAATAAAAAGCAAGAGTGGGGGACAGATATTTGACTGGCTTCTGATTGCCTTCATAACATTAACAATAACATCTCTATTACACAATCCTTGATGGTTGCCTTCACAAGTTATTTATACTCTTGAGCATCTCTTGATTCAAATCCCAGGGTTTCTGACAGGAGGTTGTTGAGCCAAAGGTGGTAAACCATCCAGATTGTCACTAATGGCCTGACCAAACAATAGCCACGCTCATTAATACATAGTATTTGCGAAATATTTGTGAAACAGGCCCTCGGCTCTTTTCCCTAAAAGTCAGTATTTTATTTAATAAAACTGCATTTCCTTGTATGATGTTTGCAAACATGGTCTTTTCAGATGAGGTGACCAGCCTCCACTATAAAACCTTTTGTTCTTCCCCTGTTTCAGTGCCAGTGCCTTGACAAACAAGCGAGAGGTTATATATTTTACTCTTTATATGATCATATCAATAACTATTCAAAACACAGCCAAATAAGTTCAAGTATGTACTGGTATACATCATCCGTATGCGCTGTTTAATGCACATTCATTTTAGGCATGAGTATGCATTGGTCTTGTGTGCATTATCAACACATAATATGCATTATGAAAGCTATTTACATATGCACAACCACAAAATATCACCTAATCTAACACCTCATACTGTGTTGGGTTAATGAAGTGTTAATGAAGACATAAGTTGGAAGAGTGTGTATTCGTGTATCAGTGTGTTTTGGTGCCAGACTTTGTACTGTATGTGTCAAAAGTAATAAAGGGGAAGGTGCAAAAATCTAATGCTGACAGCAGAAATGGTGTATTATATGAAACAAGCTGTTGATACCATGTTCACTTGCAACTTTCTGTGAGGTTTTGTTTAAGTGGCATTCAGCAGCTTCCAGCACATGAAAATAATTCCTGTCTAGTTAATGAAAAGAATGTTTTGCCAGGATAGGTATTATGATCATGCAGAGGCTACAATATGTCTGTGTATTATGTTAACATACTGTACATGCTTCTGTGCTTGACTTTTCTTTGTTGTTGTGTAGAGTGCTGAACCCTGTTTCAACTCAATATGAATGTGAAACTGTATTAAATATATTTCTTTCCCTGTCCTTTGTTCCAGGGGATGAGAAAGGCCGATGTTTTACCATAGAGTATGTGATGCCCACTAACGTCCAGATGACCTCCGAGTCCACTGTTAGTGTCCTGAGTAAGTAACTGTTCATACTATATGAGCTATATACGAGCAATGCTTTAGGTTGCTGAAACTGTTGAGGTTAGTCTGAAGTGTTTTTTGCTGTGAACCGAAGAGGCAACTAGGGGTGTTTAGAGTAAACAGGGTCGTAAGTAAAAATGTCAGGTAAAACCTACCTTTCCTCAGCTACTTTATCGCAACCCACAAGGGCCATTCAAGCCAACTTATACTGTCAAGCTACAGTCAATAAGGAACAAGCTGTTAAAACAATGCGTAAACACTCAGAGGTGCTATGTAAATGGTATTTTATTGTAAACAGCCTTTATATGTGTTTACTATCCGCTACAACCCTGAGAATTAAGTTCCAGTCTACCATAGTCAAATAAAGAAAATTGGCCATGTTCACAGGTGAGAAGTCATGTGAGGGGTCTTGTCATTGTTGCTGCACTAGCACTCTCTCCACTTTCACTGGGTGGAACTGGGAGATAGCATGGACCTCCAACGCATTACGCCCTCCCAGTGAACCTCATCGCTGGCAGGTGAAAGAAGTGTCTGGTAACACCATGTGTCACTGAGGGCGCTCGTCTGTCTGCGGCTCTTTCTGGGCCAATGCTACTGTAGGATTATTGTGGGCATGGATTGCAATGGGTAGTAAAGCCTCTTTTGATTTTGTTATGCCAAGTCTAACGTCATCACATAGAGGACAAGTCTGACCCAAGTTAAAGTCATGTTGCTTGACTCCACATTTCTGCACTATGCTGTCATCTATGTAGTTTGGGTTATTCCTGGCCCAATCCCCAAGACCAGTTCACTCAAGATAAGAGCTGGTTGTGTATGAAAAATTTAAGGGTGCCATTTTCATGGTGTAGAGATCCCCTGCAGGGTGAACACGCATGGATACACATAAGTACTGGTAGTGTGCAGACAAGCAGTCGTGACTACAGAGAGTGATGCTGTCAAGACCACTCTCATATCCGTTGTGTCTTAAAGCTGCTGTCAGTAGATGGTCTTTGATGTCAAAGAAGTAAGACATAGTAAGACAAAGGTGAACTACTTGATCGTCTAGGTGCATTCACACACCTCACAACCCTCTCTGATGGTTGTCATAACACACGGTTGACGGAAATTGGATACCCGCATAAATGAATTCATCCATCCATTTTCCAATCTGCTTATTCTGTGTAAATAACTTCTATCAAAGGTGTGATTATTCTTTTAAGTACTGTATTAGAGAAGAATGAGAGAAACAGAAGTGGGAGACAGGAGAATTTATGTGAAGATGAAGAAGTTACAGAAACTTGAATGTGAAAGAGGTGTGCATGTTAGAAAGAAGTGAAGACAGTATAGGCATGTAAGGTTTTACATTGACAGTGATAATGAGAAATAAGTTGAAAGTTAAAATCCAGGGCCATAAATTGAAGTATAGTTCCAAGTACACTGGTAATATTCAGTTAACATGCAGTATGGTAACTGAATTTCAGATGGAGGGATGCAGAAATAGTAACTCAAATGCCCACAGCATGAAAGGTTAATACAGGACCTGTCCAATCACATTAGGTCACATGGCTTTGATGTAACAATATATGATGGCGAAGTATCTCTGTCATGAAGCTTTGTCATTAGAATGGACACTTTAAAACAGCTTTTATGTAATAACTTGCACCTGCTATTGGATCTTTTGTCATTATTTTCCTTAGCTTTTCCTGAATTCGCTGGGTATCTACAGTAGATTTTAATAGGCAAGTTTACCACACAATCCAAACTTTACCCAATTAATTAAATAACCAGTTCCATTAGGGTTATGGCCTTAGACATCTGGTCCACTTAGCTGGAAGAGTAACATTTTGTGTAATGGAGAACACAATGGGGTTCTGAAAAAAAGTATCACAGACTTGCTTTACTTCTGTGAGGTCCATTTGCTCACAGTAGGGAGGTCCAGCTCCATCTCAATATAAATAAGGAACCATGACTGACTTGACGAGTAAGACCGACTTCAGAAGACCTCATGCTGCTATTCTAAGGGGAAAAAATCTTCTATTTGAAATGTCAGTCATTCACTGAAGTAAGTGCACAAAACAAAGAAAATATCCTCATAAAGTTTGCATTAGAACAAAGCAGTAACAGCCACTCTATAATCAGCACATCTCAAATCAAATTCAGTGAAAGTCCTGGTTTCTAATTCAGTCACAAACAAACAAATCTGTTTTTCTTGTCTTCTTCCAGAGATGATCCGTTCTGCCACACCCTTCCCTCTGGTCAGCCTCTTCTTCATGTTCATTGGTTTCGTACTCAGTAACATCGGCCACATCCGACCCCATCGCACCATCCTGGCCTTCGTTTCTGGAATCTTCTTCATCCTGTCAGGTACTTGGTTTGACTTTTACTAAAAGCAAACTAATAAATTAACAAACAGTTAAAAAGGTCATAGTTACATCTGAGATATTTAACTTACTATGAATATACTTACTTAACATACTGTTATTGCTCTAAAATATGTGATCAGTAGATGCATGGTTTATAATAATTTATGACAACATGATTTATATACTATCAATATGTTATTTTTATTGAATCTTTCTTTCTATCCATAATCATTAGAGTTTTATCTTTCTGTCTATTTTCTTCCCTCAGGTCTCTCTCTGGTAGTCGGTCTGGTGTTGTACATCTCCAACATTAATGATGAAATGTTGAACAGAACCAAAACTAATGAGGCCTACTTCAGCTACAAGTACGGCTGGTCATTTGCCTTTGCTGCCATCTCCTTCCTGCTAACTGAGGTAACTTCACAGCAAATGTGGATAATTTAACCTTATATGTATTTGCACAGCCGGAGTCACAAGCAATTTGTCAAAATGATTCCTCTAAACTTTTTTTCTTACCTACTTAACTTCTTTTCTCATCCTAAAATCACCCTTCTTTGTGTGAAAGATGTAATCCATCATTGTTCACAAAAAGGGACAGGAAATAAATGCATTAAACATGTGGTGTTTATTTAGCCAAATCCCTTCCTTCAGATATCTATTGTGCTGTGAGAAATAGTCCCCATGACAGCTTATGTTGGCAATGATACGATTTAAAAGAAAAATACACACAGATACAGCACATACACACACGCTTGAACTCATTCAACTCAACTCAAATCATTCAATTTAATCAAATTAATTTAAAGTGACTTGAATTGTAAATAATGCATTTTATTATCTTTTCATTGACAAAAAGAGACACAGGTCATCATTAAACTACTAATGGTGAACATTAAATGTCTATACCTAGTTTTAATTTGGCTACTTTTTCCTATTTAGAACTGTTTTAATTAACAACACCCTCAAAATGCTGCAAAATCTAATAGATAATTAAAAGCTGGTAAAATTGAACTATACAGGAAACAGAAGTACAAAGTGAGAGAGTAAACAAGAGTTAACTTTGTCTCTTTGCCTTCATTCCAACCAGACAGCGGGTGTCATGTCGGTGTACCTGTTCATGAAACGCTACACAGCGGAGGAAATGTACCGGCCCCATCAGGGCTTTTACAGGCCTCGCCTCAGCAACTGCTCAGACTACTCCGGCCAGTTCCTCCATCCAGACGCCTGGGCCGGACGTGGTCGCAGTCCCTCCTCCATCTCCTCTGAGGCCTCCCTCCAGATGAATTCCTCCAACTACCCTGCTCTCCTCAAGTGTCCAGAGTATGAACAAATGTCCTCCTCACCTTGCTGAGGCAGAGGATCATTGAGTGGTTGTGTTAGCACCGTAGGGGTAATTTTGATCTGCCTGGATTTCGGCATCAAATTGTCCAATAATTTGATATTCTCTAGCTTGAATCATTCCCGTCTTCAAGTGTCCTGACTATGACCTGATTCTTTCTACCCTCCCAACTTTTTATTTACACCATTTGGTTTTGTGGGGAGCAAAATCTAAGTTGCAGGTTAGCAAGTTCACAGCAGTTTATTCTCAGCTAATCTGTCTCATTTCAGGGAGAGCTGTTAGAAGATGAGAGAGGAACGAGTTGGACCAGGTTGTACTTTTATCTGCTTTTTCTCTTGTTTTTAGTGATAGGTTAGAAGAAACCTGCTGAACTGACCAAGGCTAAAGTCGTCTGAAAAGAGTAGCTTCAATGTCCACTCTTTGCTTGTACTACAACCCTGGTAGCAGTAGCTTTTTGACAGGATTACACACTGCACAGCAGACATGCAGATGGTTTGCAGGTTTTCAAAACCAAACAGCACAGCATGTGCTTCGAGCCAGAAAGTGGAAACTAATCAGTGAAATCTCCTTGGTGTAGAGGAAAATAGCCTAGAATAGTACATCTTAGAGGGTGGCTCACAAATTTGTTTCTCAATTTGATCATAAGATTATTGCTCAAATTGTGCAGACTTCAGATTTATGAAGCTTGATGAGATTAAAATAAAATTGTTATAGCTTTCTTCTACAGATTGAACACGTGAAACAGCTGTGTCAATGTGCACAAGCTAGTTTTACTCACATTCTCAGTTGTCACTTCTCAGTTGCTGCACTATATGCAGAAAATGGCTTTTTGTTGTGTTATACTGTACTGTAGGTGTTCTCATTCACATCAACAGTTTCAGACATGTTTATGTGAAGTCGTGCTAGAACTCAACTTGAACTTTTTCATGTTCAGTTGCAGAGAGTATGAAACACATGATGAATGAGAATTTCAACCACTCAAATTGATAATTGTATTGACATACCATTTTATAAACAAACTGTTTGGGTTACAGACAGGGAGAGTTAGGTTTATGACAGATGGTCTTTGACCTCCAATATGGACTTCATTTCTTACTCCTCCTCCCCAGTATTTCTGTATCAAGTGTGATTTTTAAATAATTTGCAGATCACACTGACTTTCATTTAAGAAGTAATTATATTTCCACTTTAGGTCCTTTCATTAATTGTTATGTAGCCACAGGTGTTTCCTAAACCTTTTAAGCTGTAACCGAAGAGTGAAAAGCTTAACTTTTTTTGTCAAACCTTCCAGCTTCATTTGCTTTCATTGGTCCCTTTCACCAGTTTTGGTTATTGACACCAAAGGAAAGGTTTATATTATAGGCTGCTAGTCCAGATATAGGAGATCTTTTTTAAAGGCCCAAATGTGAATATATTAATGGTTATATAAACTTTGCGTGTATTATTGTATATTCTTGTAAAATGCTTTATTTGCTGTCATGATACATTATTAATAAGAATACAGGATTGCTTTACATCAGTGTTTCAAAAGATACAGATGTAAATAAACCTTTTATATTATCAGAGAACCAATGATTCCTGTATACAATGTTATTCTTAGTTAGTCAATCAATTAAAGACAAAAAGTGTAAGATTTAAAAAGAAAAGCTGTACAGGGGCAACACTGTTTGATTGTGTTTATCCGATTAGAGTCCAGAGTTTGTTATACATTTAAATAAGAAGAGAAGGTCGCAGTTTTGATGGAGAATGTGAATGAGTCAGGTGGTATGAAAGACTATTCTGATCTAGAGCCATTGTGAATGTACAATTGCTGTAGGAAATTCTGCTTAATAAGATTTTTTGCACATAGTAAAATACCTCTCCTTCAGACATATATAAACCTAAATTATAGATACATATTTTTCTAATTTACACCCTCATAATGACATAATATTCTTAGATGTTTGACACATATACTGCAATCCTCAGTGTGCCAAGGAAGAAGTTTTATCCAGGTTAAGTGGCTTAAGGTTAAGTATTGAATATATACATTTCATGCAGCATTAAGTGTGAGTAAACATATTAAAGAGAAACATTTTGTCTTGTGCAATAATTTTGTTAGTTTGATATATTATTAAAATTATAATTATTGTCAGTATTTAATGTTGCATGGTGTGAACTCCACATATTATTAAAAGCATGCAACATTTCATCACAGGATCATGGTATTTCACCTGCAGTACATGTAAACAAACATAGCAAGCTATGTTTAGCTATATAACAAGCTAAGCAAAGTTCACTCTCTCGAGCACTGTTTTGGTATATAGACCCGCTACATTTAGTTTATTTTAAACACTGTAAATATGAATTAATCCATGTGTACATAGATTCATTTTTGTATAGACAGCAGTACATGTAAAAAAAATTGGTTGTTTTGTTGTTGGGTAGATTTATCTGCAGTAGATGTAACAGCTGCTTTGCCTCTGCATCACACTGGCAATGTGAACTTTTGCATAAAGGTATACTTACATAAAGTATTCAGATGGTGTCATTGTCAGACATGAAATGTCAATATATGTGTATTTTTACAATCAGAGTCATTTTCATGATGTTAAATGTGCAAAATGGAATATGTATACTCAATGAAATAAAGTTTAATGGGATTTGATAAACAATACGCTTGTTCCTTCTATAATGTGTTTTTGGTTGCTATAGGCTAACTTACCATTTTTTCATGGTTATATGGCAAAAATGGAAATTATCATATATACAGTATATTATTTTTATATGTCATAGTAACAAAGCCATTTAATGATTGCTAAAAACACAAAAGTAACAGCAACATTATTAGAGACCTCAAAATCAGCAAAGCATTCTTAAACACTGATGTATAATGCGTATTAAAATGAGTAATACAATGCAGGGTTGCTGTCAAGAGCATAGGACAGTAAATAGACCTGGAAAGGCAGATATTTCAGATTCTCACTGCTCTGGGTGTAACTCATTTTATGTTACACTAAAAATAGTTATAGTTATGTAAGAAAGCTATCATTAAGTAAACACATTATTGTAAACGTGTAGCACAATGTCACCCTCTGTTGAGACAGAGCGGCAATGCATATCAATAAGGAAACTGCAGGTGTGGATAGAAACAACAGAATATCAACTATTGATCACATTCTTCTTGGTTTTAGAGTTTGGATTTGCCAAAAACATATTTCAAGAGTATCAGGTAATGTCACATTTCCCACTAACTTGCACTGTAACCTGAGACTACACTTTACATGCAAGAGGAATACTTTAAAAACAGGCTCTCTTATGTGTTATCAAACCACATTAACATGGCTCTCCTCTTAATCAGCGATAAGGTCAGATCTCCGTCTCCGAGTGCCAGTATGAACCCAGCTGCTCTGACTGTGAGAGCTGGCATTCATCCATCTGGTTGAATGGGATGTAATGGGGCTATCAGCAGGATGGAAACAGCTAATCTGCATGCATCATGTGCTGATGTGCCCACAAACTGAACAAGCAGTTTCATCTATTGATCTGATGAGCTGGCATGTTCTCAAATTGATTACCCCCAACAATGAACCAATGTGTTGCAAATGTCACTGTTGGTGGTAATTAATACACATTTAGTGGTGCACTATTTAATTTAAACTCCAAACTGCCCTTGTTCCGCTGTACTATTAAGGAATAAAGTAATTTGTTATATCGTATATATACTATATCATTTTAATTAAGTAAACAGATTCCTCTGTCTTTCTCCAGAAACTAACTTTTGCTGATAAGAGGTGGCCCAGTGCCTTTGACAACAGCTCCATCTAGTGTCACTTCTGTGGAAACACAGTTTCCCATCAGTTTTGAGTTACAGCTGTTTTTACAGAGAAGAAGAAATATTTATTAGTGCCCTAAACTTCCTCATGTACTGGTGCTAAATGTAAAGTTAGTGATGAGTGGTAATGATTCCAACTGATTATTTTATAATAATATTCTAGTTTGTATTTTCTATTTTCTATTTTCAATTTTTATGCTTATATTCTTGACTTTACAGTACTTGTTTTTTTTCTTGTTTTTTTTCCAATTCAGATTTGATTGATAACTTGAAGTACAATGTTTATTAATCACATGAAACAAAATGTATGGGAATATGTATTAGAAATACTGTTTTATAACTGCTGATGTGTTCATATACTTCCCTATTATGTTTTATCCAAACAACATGAGGTTATTTAAAGACTGACAATATAATTTAATATATATATTAAATTATATCCATCTTTAGTATTGTTTTCAATACTCTTAAAACTCAGGGGACGTTTGAATGCTCAACCCCTAATGGTTAAAATAGCAGATGAACACTGCCACATCCTACCCAGAGGGTATTGTGATCTCTTAGAAGTTCCTTAAGCCATATGTAAGTAAAACAAACATTTAGATCCCACCCCCCACCACACTGTGCCAGAGGCCACTTGCTATATGGTGCCTGTATCACCAAGTGCAGAGAGGGCATGAAGGAGACCAAACGGTCACTGAGAGGTGTGTGTGTTTAATAAATTCATCAAGGCTATAATACATTGGTTGAGTGTTAAAGGCAGTCTGGTTGCGCAACATCTTCGTACAGTGCAACTATGAATTTGAATTTGATTGCCTCTGTAGCATTTTATCTAATATTCAGACTCATTGTTTTACTCTTAATTTTTTGATGAAGCCACAGCAAGGTTTTACCATAACCCAAAGTAATGTAGAACAGATTCTGTGGAAATGAAATTTAAATCAGTCAGATCTGTGCCAGCAACCGAGGGGAAATACTATTTGTGAACAACTAAGTCTGAACTTCTAAAACGCTGTATAAAGAATCAAGGTGTATTAAGGACACTGAAACACTGAAATACAGTTGAGACAAGAAAGGAGGAGCACTGAAATCAAAAGTAGTTAATAAGTTAATGCGTAAAAAAAACGTGCAAAAACTAAACAGAGAGTAGGCAATATAAAATATACACTAATATAGTATGCTTAATGAGATTTTGTTTTAGGATATAGACACATTGGTGCATTAAGGTCACATATACTACCAGTAAACTGAATGAAATTTTTATTTGGTCCACTTTTTTATCTAACCAATACTGGAACTAAATGGTTCTTGCTGCTTGGTTCTGCTCACTGTAGCATATTTTTGTGGAGGAAGCCTGTGAGAAAAACGGGACAATCAATTCTCACAGCTGATATTTCATCCAAATAAAAAATATATATAATATAATATAATAATGCACATGTCCTCCATTAATCTCATATCTATTATAGCCTCACATTCAGTCTTAAAGGCTTCTAAAAAAGGATCAAAACAACAGTAACTGCAATGAGTCCAGCTTTACAAGACAATGTAAGGAAGATCCTGAATAATGTATCAATGATTAATCTCACACACACACATGCGCACACACCTTTAATGCCATTTCTCTGTTTATCTCTCCATACTGTCTCTTCCTACAGTATTGTCACGTATTTCATCCTCTTTCCTCCATCTGTTTTCTGGTTTTTTTTTCTTGTGGAAAAGGAAAATTGTCTGTTGAATTGGTTATTTGTAAATACAGAAGGTTCATCTCCATGAGATTTGAGGCCTGAAGGACAAGCACTTGGC